GTCATCTTGTTAGTTTGATCGCGAACATTACTCTATGCGCATATCTCCGTCCTTGTACACTAGTAGCAATTACTATCGTTTTGTTTGTGATATTTCGGAAACAGTATTAACATGTAAGCTCCCACCTTACTCCTTCCTGTCTCGAATGCCTGTCGAAGTTGAACGGAACGAAGACAGTGGGAGTATTGAAAAAAGAAAAATACAAAAAGAACGATTGTTTAATCAAAACAAAGAATGTGAGGCTTGTTTGATGATAGTTTGGCTCTCCCCTAACAAAAATCGAAAGAAAAAGATATCCCTGCTTGCCCTCCCCATCACCACCTCGTAATGTTGAGGCAACACCCAAGTAGAGAGCTACCGTGGAGCCAGGCTGGCGCTCGGTAGCTAACCCGGCGGCCAGGCTACTCTTGAGTCCGCGGTCGTCGATCGCTGAAGCTTCGCTTTCTCGATCGTGTCTGGTACGTGGCTTCTTCTAATTTAGAGCGGAGTCGGGACGCGGGCCATCAACTTCGTGAAGAGTTACCTTGAGAACTGCATCTTCAAAATTCGAGTGACCCCCCCCCCCCCCGCACGTAAATCACGGAGAAAACAAGATCTTCAACGACAAGGTTGGCGTACCACAAGGAGCCATCCTGTCCCCGCTGCTTTTAAACGTAGTCATGACCCAGAGTTTGCCAGACAGCTGGACAAGATTGAGGACCCCGTTTGTGGATGACATCATGCCGTGGACCACACACCATGCACACGACGCCCACCACCAGTCTAGCAACCTCTAAGCCGCACTTGGACGTCATAGCGGATTTCCTCCCCAGCATGGGCATGCAACCCTCGCCAGAAAAAAACTCAATTCCTATTTTGCACAGTACTGCGTAAACGAAAGAGCTCTTTACCCTGACGTTTGCAGGACAACCACTGCGTCAACCGGACACTAAGCAATTTTGCATACCGGAAAACACCATCAACAGTAGCTGGAACACACAGAGCTGGTTGCGAGCCCTGAAACCTACTTGGCAGAAGATCCTTCACTTAATCAAGCGAATCAGCCACCATATGGGAGGCACGAGTACCGAAGTCGCCAGGCGACTCGTGCAAGCAGTTTTTGTCTCCTGGATAACAAATGGCGCCATTAATTGCCTCTGCACAGAGCAGCAAAATAATCTATTGGACACACTTTAAATGAAGCCCTTTGAGTCATACCGAACTTCCAGAACGCTTTAAAAAAGAGGAACTCCATAAGCATGCCCACCTACCACCCATGTGAGCAATCCTAGCTCAACAACAAGAAAAAAGTCACAGTCTTCGCCGCCAATACACACAGGCTGGACACAGACTACTCCAGTACGCGGCAATCAATATCGGTTACCAGGATGTTTTGACTCCAATGAACGCACCATGGAAGGAATTCATCGCCACAGAATTGAAACCATGCTCCAGTCGTACAAACGGAGACTTCAATTAACAGAAAAGACGACGCCTGGTACGATCCCAGCAATGTGACGTCACAGACGCAGCAACAATATACACCGATGCAACGAGACTAAGCACTCCAAGGGTATGATCGCTCTCGCCGCCGTTGCATTCCACTATGCGGACACAGGAACCACCCTTGTGGAGGGTGGTTCCTGTGTCCGCATGCCAAGAATGAATAAATACCCTCATAATACTAACAATGGCTGTGTTACAAATCTTACCCAAATGGATCCGAGTTACTCCGGCGGATCGTGCCACGTGACGGCACAAATTGAAAAACACTGGACACGGGTAGGTTTTAGAACGCCAAGGGTACAAAACCCTTACCCTGGAGTAAGATCGAGTAAATTTTGGAACACGGCCAATTCGTCTTTCTATTTCCTGGGCTATTAAGCACGTGCCAACAGGCCCTGACCGAAAACGACGTTCACGTGACGGCTGCATTAACCCAAGGGTACACGAATGGCAAAAATGGGTAACACGCATGCCCACGAGGTGGCAGGCAAGGCACCGAGGAATAGCCGCCTCCATCAAGGCTTGGGTGAGTTTGTACCTGGGACCCCCAGACTCCAACCTGACGAGGCAACCGGGTACTACTCGGCCCATTCGTAGCATGCCCACTCCGGGTAGCAGGGGCATGTCACCCTGGAAGGCATAGTGACATTGGGAGGGGACTGATCACCATCGGCCTTACATTTGTTCGGATGTTTAAAATGCTAAAGTCTACAATCTCGCCCGATCCTCTGGTAAAATACCATTCGGGAGGAACAGAATATCAGCGTTTTTGCGGACTGAAAAAAACTTTCAGACGCTCCTAATAAAAAAAGAAGAAAAAAAAAAGAAAAAAAAACCTGTCTGAAGCAAGCATACACTCACCAAGGTGATTAGCGAGTATTTGGAAAACCTGCTACTCAGGTAATTGTCAATGTCATCAAAACCCATTTAGTACCTCTACTTTCATTATTGATATTGATTTCTGCCTTTTTCATGGATCAGCTTCTTGAACTGTGCACCCATGCTTTCGCTTGAATATTACTAAGGCATCTGTCAACCGTTCTCGCACAGATTTCTATAAATGTATACAGGGTGGTTTTTTTCAGCCAAACAAATTTTAAGAAAAAAAAAAAAAAGAAATCAGGCGATAGGTACGTTGATGCCGTCATCTCTGTATTACGTGGGGTTCGGCGTACATTAGATGAGAGGATAAGCGTCACATATGCTGATTTACCAAACATCTTTTTGCAATTAACTGTTTAATTAACGGTTTAATTGGCCATGTCACAATTGCAGTTTTGAAGGCCACAATTAATAAACCTTAACCCAATTGGAGCGATTTGCGAAGAGACAACAAGCTTTGTGATATTCATCGTTAAAACTTTGACGTTTTTCTCTTGATTCAAAACCGCGCGCTGAAGAGCCTGCCTGATTATGAGCGGTGTGTGTGTCCGTCCCTATCTTGGAAGTGTGACGCCGGCGGGTCCACCAAAGACGTTCCGCCGAGATAGTGACGCAGGGCTCGAAACAGATGCGTCACTCTTCTACGCATCATAATCAGGCGCGCCCTTTAGCGAGTGATTTTGAATGAAGCGACGAAAGGCAAAAATTAAATGATGAATATTTCAAAGCTTGTTGCTTTTTCGGAAAGTGCGTGAATTGGATTAGCCTTTAATAATGGCACACTTTAAAACAGTAATTGTCACTAGGCCCATTGAACTGTTAATTAAAAAGTTAATTAAGAGAATTTGGTTATTTAGTCAACATACCGTGACGTTTATCCCCTCATTTGACGTGCGTCGAGCCCAACAAATATTCAGTGAAAACGGCATCCACATATCTATTGTCTCCTTTTTTTTTAAACAATTACTCTGTTAAGCTAAGGGAAAAGAAACACCCTGTATATACATATATAGGTTAACTCGTAGTGGTGAATGAGCCGGGAGACGTTTTAAGCGAATATTGAGTTGATGCAAGGACAGACTCTTGGAATATATTGTTAACGGCAAGCCAAATTTATTTCTCTATATATACATAGACGTTTGTCTTCATGCATATACTAAATCCAGTTTGGCGGACAGTAGACTGAATAACTGTCACCATTATATTACTTCATTACACGTAATAGAAAGGAAACAGGAGTTTGCAGGCCGTGCGAGCTTTGCGGAAAGGCAAAGGCCCACACAAGCAGGTGTTCCCGCACAACTGACCCTCCATAGCCTTCCATAATTAATTCAACAAATATGACATAAAAATAACAATACATCTTAGAACTGTCGCTTTTATTTTCGTTGACGCTTTTGAGGACCAAGTTATAATGGCACCATTGGTGTTACACCAGTTCATACAATTTTCGGGGAGGTTCTAAAATACACGCAGATACTGACGTAACTCGGTAGCTAAAAATTGCACCCCTTGCCCGTGTGGCCAACCTTCCACAGCACGTATAGCACGATTTGCAACGCTCGCGGAAGAGCGAGGCCACATACTTTGTGGTGTATTAATTGGACCCCTAGTACCTGGGCATGGCAACCAGACTGACATCATGTGAAAACTATATATTTCATCTATTACTTTTCGCATTTTTGTCATCTAATTTGGAAAGTTGACGCAAGCGCGCAGATACTGCCGCCAATGGCCGCATTCGGAAGCGGCTGCCTTTCTGGACTCCAAACGTTATAAGAGAGCAACGTCAACGTAGGCACTAAGCGAGCGCGCAGTTCCCATCCTAGTCTCCGCTTCCCCCGTGGGGCGGCAACCGGCCTGGCAAGCAAACGACGCCGAGCATTCTTTCTATAAATGAAAGAGGGAGGCGTCGCATTCGTTCGAACGACGTTTTAGCGAACGAAAACGATATCACGACGATCCATCTGTTAGCGAGAGACGCGACTGGTAGGTCCTCGTAGTCGGTCAACCGCGAATAAAATACGATTTAAAGAAATAAGACTGGTTTAATAAAGGATTGTACTAAACAAAGTGTAATGGTGTTCCAGCGGCCATGCTGGCTTCCCGTCGCCTCTTGCTGCAGCTCTCAATGTGGCTGTCCCGCCGTCACCGAGCTCGAGCAAACTAACACGCCCAAAACAAATTTATGATCTGATCCTCAGATTATATCTTGTAGTCCTTATAACGGACTGTCATGCGGCTAGTCCTAGAGAAGAGTGACCCTACATCACTCAGAGGTTCCAAGTCTTCGAGCGTTTCAGCTGTGATCTCTAGATCTCTATCGGGTTCTTCGAGGATCTCCAGATCTGTACGTGCATTTTCGGAATTTTCTCCCGGGATTCGTGGCTCTTCGGTACTGAAACCGTCGCTGCGGTTGGCATCCTCAGGGTCTGCACCCTCAGTACGATGAGTGAATAGCCCAACTCAGGGACATCGATGCCGCGTGTGGCATGTCGTCGCAGCTGTTCTACGTAAATCACCCGCTCTTTCAGTCGGTGGTGACTCTGTGGAGCGCGCTTGATTTTAACAGTATTCTCGCCTAGAAGCTTTGTTACTTCGTAAGGTCCGTCGAAATTTGGATCTAGTGTCATTCATCGATGGCCCATTGTGCAGTAGACAGTGTCACCGATCCGGAAGTTTGGAGCCTTGTGTTTGCCGTCGTAAAGTCGTTTAGCGTTCGCTAGGCTTTTCTCCAAGTTTTGTCTTGCTCGGTCTCGGTTCCTGAAAAGTTAGGAGAGCCTTTATGATTCACTTAGCTCCTCATAACCGTCAGACAGAAGAAGGTGACCAGGTAGACCTGGAACATATTCGTGCATGACGTCGAACGGACTATGTTGTGTCGATTTCCGTTTGGAGACATCGAATAGCGAATACTGCTTCTGCAAGTCTCTCATTCCAATCCGAGTGAGACTCGATAATTTTCGGAGTACGTTCTTTAGGATTCCTACCATCCGTTCCACCAGACCATTGGCCTGACGCCAGTACGGCGGAGTTGTCACGTGTGCTATTCCTAGACGTCGGTGCACAGGTGCTGTCCTCTTGTTGACGAAGCCCTTTGCTTGATCGGTCACGATGGTCTTGGGGACACCAAACCTTGGTGTCCATCGATCCATTAAAAAGTCCAGGTAGAACGTTTTTAATGTTGAGGTGACTGCGCCTGCTTCCACATATCGTGTGGCATGATCGACGCACACAAGCACATCTCGGTAGCCATCACACTCTTCCAAGGGACCAAAGTGATGAAGTGATACGACCGTGTTAGGTTCTTCGGGAATGGCCCTCAGTTGCAACGATCCCTCCTGGATTGTGGCCCTCCTGTGGATTCTCCGGCAAGCGTGGCAGGACCGGACGTAGTACTCCACGTGACGTGACATGTTGGGCCACCAGTACCTTCTCTAAATTAGGTCCAACGTGCGTTGCGCGTCCATATGCTCTGTTGAGTCGTGGCATTGTTATATTCCTGGCCAGGATGTAGCGCCACAAGGTCCCCTGGTGCTTAGTGTGATGATGCCTGGAAGTGCGGCGCTCTATATTAAACAGGGGGCCACACGGCTCCCTCAGTTACTGTTGTGCTGGAACCGTCCTGCGTGTGTCATGCTTCCGCCTCTGGCCGCCGACGAACGTTGGCCGGTGGGAACCGAGTTCGGTTTACACTAGTAACACTGGCGACGAGGGAAAAGTTTTGTTCTTCGTACAAAGTTCGTCACGGTTCCTTGCGAATGATAAGTTCGCAAATCATTTTGCTCGGGCTAGTTCTGCTCGTCATGCCAACCTTCGGCAGAATTGAACCTTTTGAAGGGGGAGGAGAGGACTGGCCGTCCTACGTCAAGCCTCTAGAAGCTTTCTTTTCGGCGAGCGATGTCGTCGCGGCCAAGAGGCAAGCCATCTTCTTCAGTTGCTGCGGTGCGAAGACGTACGCTCTTCTTCGGGACCTGGTCAAGCCTGCCAAGTCTCAAGATAAGTCTCTGAATCCGGTTCTTTCCGTCCTCGGCAACCATTACTGCCCGAAGCCTTCCGCCGTCGTCCAGCGCTTCCGTTTCAACTCGCATGCTCGCGCCGACGGGGAGTCTGTGAGCAACTACGTCGCAGCGTTGAAAAACTTGTCCGAGCACTGCAGCTTCGGTGCTGAGCTTGAAAACATGCTGAGGGACCGTGTCGTCTGCGGGATTAACAGCACTGCAATCCAGACCAGACATTTGGAACGGCCAGACTTGACGTTCGAGGACGCAGTGCAGACCGCTGTGGCCGAGGAAGCGGCGAAGAGGGACGCCGGGGAGATTTGCCAGACCAGCTCCGGCAGCGCCGCGCTCGCAACGCATCGAGTCACGGCACTTACGGGGGATGTCACCTGCTACTGCTGCAGAGACGGACACCTCGCGTCCGGCTGCAAGCACGTTGAGACTACGTGCAACTACTGCCGAAAGCGAGGACATCTATCGAAAGTGTGCAATTCGAAGCAGAGGGACGCCCAGTCATCCAGGAAAAGTTCTACCAAGCAACGCTTTCTGGGGAGGGGGGGGGGGGGGGCAAGCGTGCCCCTCCCCAGCAACGGAGACGCATCCAGTGAATGTCGTCCATGACAACGCTGGGGACGACAGCGTATCGTCCGAGGTTTTCGACATGTGACAAGTTGACAGCCTTGCGCCGTCATCGCTGTTCACCGTCACCGTCTTCGCGTGTGGCAAGCCACTCTGCATGGAGGTGGACACGGGCGCAAGTGTCTCTGTCATCGCCAAGAAACGTCTGCAGGCGAGTCATGCCATCCGGCGTGCTGCTGCGAAGCTATTCCGGTGAACTGACCCAAGTTCAAGGCAGGGTGGACGTCAGCGTGCAGTTCCACGACAAGAAGGCCGTGCTGCCATTGTTCGTCACCGGAGATGAGTCGCCTACACTACTTGGACGCAACTGGGTTCGGCAGCTGGGCCTCAACTTCTCTGATGTGGAGGTAACTGTTCATTCTCTCTCTGACGTCCGAACTCTAGTTCAAGAGTTTTCTGCTGTGTTCCAAGAAAGGCTGGGTACTTTCAAGGGGCTCATTACCAGTATTCATGTTCCGGAAAATGCTCCACCGAAGTTTTTTAAGCCACGTCCACTACCGTTCGCACTCAAAGATGGAGTTGCACAGGAGCTTCAACGTCTAGAAAGGGAGGGCATTATTGTACCAGTCAAGACATCAACCTGGGCTGCACCCATTGTTCCTGTTGCCAAGAAGGATGGACGTGTGAGGATTTGTGGCGACTTCAAGGTAACCGTGAATCCGGTGGCCAACCTGGAAAAGTACCCGATTCCCAGAATCGAAGACCTGTGGGCCATGCTGTCTGGGAGTAAGAAGTTCACCAAGTTGGATTTGAGGGATGCTTACCAGCAAGTGATTTTTGAGCAGGACTCGAGGAAGTATGTCACCATTTCAGCACATATGGGGTTGTTCCAGTACACCCGCCTTCCTTTCGGAGTGTCGTCCGCTGCAGCTATCTTCCAACGGGAGATGGAAATCTTGTTCCGAGGGCTGCCGAACGTCGCTGTGTATTTTGATGACATCCTGGTCACCGGCGCGACTGACTCGGATCATCTGCACAACCTTCGTTCCGTTCTCAAGCGCCTTTGTGATGTCGGACTGAAGTTGAAGTTCGACAAGTGTCATTTTGTTTTGTGCCGCAGGTTGAATACCTTGGGTACATTATCAACCAGGAAGGGTTGTCTCCAGGCCTGGGCAAAGTAGCGGACATACTTTATGCTCCAGCTCCTCGCGACGTCAAGCAGCTTCAGAGCTTCCTATGATTGATTGATTTGTACAAACGTTTCCTTCCTAACCTGTTTGAACGCCTGCGGCCACTGCACTTGCTTCTTACTGACGAGAAGAAGTGGGAGTGGGGAAAAGACCAAGAAGAGGCTTTTACCACAAGCAAGTATTTGATGACGTCCGCTCCGGTTCTAGCTCATTTCAATCCAGAAAAGCCGGTGTGTCTAATTTGTGATGCATCATCATACGGGATCGGTGCAGTTCTGGCGCACCGTGAAGCCGATGTCCAAGAGTGACCCATTGATTTTGCATCAAGGAGTTTGTCCCGAGCAGAACAAAACTACAGTCAACTTGACAAAGAGGCATTAGGCTTCGTCTGCGGGGTGGAACGGTTCCACCAGTACCTGTGGGGGACCCCTTTTCAAGCTTTCACAGACCACAAGCCGCTGCTGGGATTGCTGAATGCTGACAAGCCAGTTCCTGTCCACGTGTCACCTCGGCTTGTCATGTGAGCTCTCAAGCTTTCAGCGTACAAGTACCAGCTGACCTACAAATTAGGAAGGAATTTAGGTCATGCTGACGCACTCAGTAGACTTCCATTACCTGGGAGCAACGTTGAAGAGAACGTGTCGGCTGACGTCTTCATGCTACAGCACGCATATCCGAATCTTTCACCCACCATTGTGGCTCAAGCCACAAAGAATGACACTGTTCTGGGACATGTCGTTCTCGCTGTTCTCAGAGGAGAGAACCTTGCACTAGTATCAGAAACAAGCCCTTTTTGTGCAAGGAGTTCAGAGCTTAGCTTGCATGAGGGTTGTTTGCTTTGGGGAGCACGCGTGATAAATTCCAAAAGTGCTGCAGGCTCGAGTCCTGGATCTACTTCATTCCAGCCACCCAGGCATCGAGAAGAGCAAAATGATCGCCAGAAGTCCCGTCTGGTGGCCGGCTATCGATAACGACATAACCCACCATGTGAAGAGCTGCTCGATTTGCCAAGCTCATCAGCGGGCTCCACAACCAGTTCAACAGGCGCCCTGGCCGTTCCCCCAGAAGCCTTGGTCCATGCTTCAATTTGATTTTGGAGGGCCATTTATGGGACATACTTTTTTGGTGATTGCGGATGCTTTTTCAAAATGGGTCGAAGTGTTTCCTGTCTCGTCGACTTCTGCAGAGGCTACCATAACAGCCCTGCGAATGGCCTTCGCTCAGCACGGTCTACCAGATCTGATTGTGTCAGACAATGGGCCTGCATTTGCAAGTGAGCAGTACTTGGACTTTCTAACATTCAACGGGATACGCCGCATGCTCGTGCCGCCATATCATCCAGCGTCAAACGGGGCAGCGGAGCGTGTTGTAGAAACCGTTAAGAACAAACTCAAGAAAAGTGGCTTTGGGGATTTTCAGACTCGGATTTCCAGATTCCTGTTTCATTAGAGGACTACTCCGCACGAGGTCACGGGCAGAGCACTATGCGAGTTGTTGCGGGAAGGATGTTCAAGACGCCGTTGGATGTCCTGCGTCCCAGCCTCCAATCATCAGTTCTGCTCAAGCAGCTAAAACTGAAACTGTATACTGATAAAGGCTGCCTACAGGGACGACCGCTCATCCCTGAGGAGAACGGTTTCACCAGGAACTTCCTCCAGGGTATGCCCTGGGTGCCTGCTCGAGTCATCGGCGCCACAAGTCAATCTTTAGCGCAAGTCTGCCTTGAAGATGGCACACTGTGGCATCGGCACGGTGATCACCTGCGCTCCAGACCGACCGACGCCCCTACAGCAGCTACGGCCGTGGCAGAGACGTGTCAACTTGTTGGTGCTGCAGTTCATTTGGAACCGCAAGTAATAAATAAGAGTCAATCTGCTGGTGCTCCCGGCGCTCTGATCTAGCCAGGCGAAACAAGCGTGGGTCCAAGCGACAGTGTCGCAAGCACTGGGGTAAATCCTTATCCTACAAGCATCAGTCCATCCCAGCTGCGCCGTAGCACAGGGGCTAGGAGGGCCGTGCAGCGGTACTCCCCTTAGCTGTTGCTTGTCTTTGTACCTTAGTGGGGAGGATTGTTTTATTTCTGTCCAGCATGTAGCGCCACAATGTCCCCTGGTGGCCTAGTGTGACGATGTCTGGAAGTGCGGCGCTCTATATTAATCAGGGGATTACACGGCTCTCTCAGTTAGTGTTGTGTTGGAACCGTACTGCGTGTGTCATGCTTCTGCTTACCGCCGACGAACGTTGGCCGGTGGGAAGCGAGTTCGGTTTACACTTTAACCATATGTCCCGCAACACAGCTGGTACCACTACCTTGGGACCACTTCCGTCTGCATTGGTCTTAATCAGAATCTCGTCTTTCAGTATGAACTCTGTACTGTCGTCGTTTGCTGGTAGTCGGAGGCGTCGGCAGTCTAAGTCCGTCGTTTGATATTCCCATAGGCAATTGTTAGCTGACAGTACCACCAAGCAAGTGGCGTTCCTAGTCGCCGTCGCCTTGAATTCGGGAGACTCCGGCTCTCGGTCCGGACCGCACAGCTGGGAAGGGGCATCCGCTTTGTTGAGTTTGCCTGGACGATGACAAATCTTGAAGTTGTAATCTGTCAATTCGATAGTCCATTGTGCAAATCGGCAATTCGTTGATGCATT